ACACACACTACTACACCACTACACCACTACACACACACTACTACACCACTACACACACACTACACACTACTACACTACTACACCACTACACACACACTACGACACTACACCACTACACACACACACTACAACACTACTATTCCACTGCACACACTACGACACTACTACACCACTACACACACACTATGACACTACTACACCGCTACACACACACTACTACACCACTACACACACATTACTGCACCACTACACCACTACACACACACTACACACTACTACACTACTACACCACTACACACACACTACAACACTACTACACCACTACACCACTACTACACCACTACACACACACTACGACACTACCACACCACTACACACACACTACGACACTACTACACACACACACACTACGACACTACTACACACACACACACTACGACACTACTACACCACTACACACACACTACGACACTACTACACCACTACACACACACTACAACACTACTACACCACTACACACACACACTACACCACTACACACACACTATGACAATACTACACCACTACACACACACACACTATCACACCACTACACACACACTACGACAATACTACACCACTACACACACACTACGACACTACTACACCACTACACACACACTACGACACTACTACACCACTACACACACACTACGACACGACTACCCCACTACACACACACTACGATACTAATACACCACTACACACACACTATGACACTACTACACCACTACACACACACTATGACACTACTACACCACTACACACACACTATGACACTACTACACCACTACACACACACTACGACACTACTACACCACTACACCACTACACACACACTACGACACCACTACACCACTACACACACACACTATGACACTACTACACCACTACACACACTATGACACTACTACACCACTACACACACACTACTACACCACTACACACACACTACGACACTACTATTCCACTACACACACACTACTACACTACTACACCACTACACACTACTACACTACTACACCACTACACACACACTACGTTACTACTACACCACTACACACACACTACGACACTACTACACACACACTACAACACTACGACACTACTACTCCACTACACTACACACACACTACCACACCACTACACACACACTACGACACTACTACACCACTACACACACACAATGACACTACCACACCACTACACACACACACTACGACACTACACCACTACACACACACTACTACACCACTACACACACACTACTACACTACTACACCACTACACACACACACTACCACACCACTACACACACACTACGACACTACTACACCACTACACACAAACTACGACACTACTACACCACTACACACACACTACGATACTACTACACCACTACACACACGCTACGACACTACTACTCCACTACACACACACACACTACCACACCACTACACACACACTATGACACTACTACACCACTACACACAAACTACAACACTACTACACCACTACACACACACTACGACACTACTACACCACTACACACACACTACGACACTACTACACCACTACACACACTACGACACTACTACACCACTACACACACACTACGACACTACCACACCACTACACACACACTACGACACCACTACACACACACTACGACACTACTACACCACTGCACACACACTACGAAACTACTACACCACTACACACACACTACGAAACTACTACACCACTACACACACACTACCACACCACTACACACACACTACGACACTACTATACCACTACACACACTACGACACTACTACACACACACTACACACACACACTACCACACCACTACACACACTACGACACTACTACACCACTACACACACACTACGACACTACCACACCACTACACACACACTACGATACTAATACACCACTACACACACACTATGACACTACTACACCACTACACACACACTACGACACCACTACACACACACACTACGACACTACTACACCACTACACACACACTACGACACCACTACACCACTACACACACACACTATGACACTACTACACCACTACACACACTATGACACTACTACACCACTACACACACACTACTATACCACTACACACACACTACGACACTACTATTCCACTACACACACACTACTACACTACTACACCACTACACACTACTACACCACTACACACACACTACGTTACTACTACACCACTACACACACACTACGACACTACTACACCACTACACACACACAATGACACTACCACACCACTACACACACACACTACGACACTACTACACCACTACACACACACTACTACACCACTACACACACACTACTACACCACTACACACACACACTACCACACCACTACACACACACTACGACACTACTACACCACTACACACAAACTACGACACTACTACACCACTACACACACACTACGATACTACTACACCACTACACACACGCTACGACACTACTACTCCACTACACACACACACACTACCACACCACTACACACACACTATGACACTACTACACCACTACACACAAACTACAACACTACTACACCACTACACACACACTACGACACTACTACACCACTACACACACACTACGACACTACTACACCACTACACACACTACGACACTACTACACCACTACACACACACTACGACACTACCACACCACTACACACACACTACGACACCACTACACACACACTACGACACTACTACACCACTGCACACACACTACGAAACTACTACACCACTACACACACACTACGAAACTACTACACCACTACACACACACTACCACACCACTACACACACACTACGACACTACTATACCACTACACACACTACGACACTACTACACACACACTACACACACACACTACCACACCACTACACACACTACGACACTACTACACCACTACACACACACTACGACACTACCACACCACTACACACACACTACGATACTAATACACCACTACACACACACTATGACACTACTACACCACTACACACACACTACGACACCACTACACACACACACTACGACACTACTACACCACTACACACACACTACGACACCACTACACCACTACACACACACACTATGACACTACTACACCACTACACACACTATGACACTACTACACCACTACACACACACTACTATACCACTACACACACACTACGACACTACTATTCCACTACACACACACTACTACACTACTACACCACTACACACTACTACACTACTACACCACTACACACACACTACGTTACTACTACACCACTACACACACACTACGACACTACTACACCACTACACACACACAATGACACTACCACACCACTACACACACACACTACGACACTACTACACCACTACACACACACTACTACACCACTACACACACACTACTACACCACTACACACACACACTACCACACCACTACACACACACTACGACACTACTACACCACTACACACAAACTACGACACTACTACACCACTACACACACACTACGATACTACTACACCACTACACACACGCTACGACACTACTACTCCACTACACACACACACACTACCACACCACTATACACACACTATGACACTACTACACCACTACACACAAACTACGACACTACTACACCACTACACACACACTACGACACTACTACACCACTACACACACACTACGACACTACTACACCACTACACACACTACAAAACTACTACACCACTACACACACACTACGAAACTACTACACCACTACACACACACTACCACACCACTACACACACACTACGACACTACTATACCACTACACACACTACGACACTACTACACACACACTACACACACACACTACCACACCACTACACACACTACGACACTACTACACCACTACACACACACTACGACACTACCACACCACTACACACACACTACGACACTACTACACCACTACACACACACTATGACACTACGACACTACTACACCACTACACACACACACTACTACACCACTACACGAGTACACACACACTACGACACTACTACACTACTACACACACACTACACATACACACTACTACACCACTACACACATACTACGACACTACTACACCACTACACACACACACTACTACACCACTACACACACACTACCACACCACTACACACCCACTACGACACTACTACACACACACTACACATACACACTACTACACCACTACACACACTACGACACTACTACACCACTACACACATACTACGACACCACTACACCACTACACACACACTACGACACTACTACACACACACTACACATACACACTACTACACCACTACACACACACTACGACACTACGACACTACTACACCACTACACAAACTACCACACCACTACACACACACTACGACACTACCACACCACTACACACACACTACGACACTACTACACCACTACACACACACTACTACACTACCACACCACTACACACACACTACGACACTAGTACACCACTACACACACACTACACACACACACACACTACCACACCACTACACACACACACCACGACACTACTACACCACTACACACACACTACGACACTACTACACTACTACACACACACTACGACACTACTACACCACTACACACACACTACACACACACACTACCACATCACTACACACACACACTACGACACTACCACACCACTACACACACACTACGACACTACTACACCACTACACACACACACTACGACACTACTACACCACTACACACGTTCGTACATCGTGGCCGCTACTTTGCATGCCGCGGCGTTCACCGGCGCGGGGATCCCGGCCCGGGGTCGGCATCGTGAGGCCCCTTGACCCACCGCTCGCTCTCACAGCTGCAGCCGCTGTTCAACTGGAACGTGAAGCAGCTGTTCCTGTACGTGACGGCCGAGTATACGACGGCGGCCAACGTGAGTGGGCACGGGGTGGCAGGGGGGCTTCCACGTAGCCTTCAGCAGGTCCGTCGGGGAAAGCGCTGTTAGGAGCCAGTAGCGGATAACACAGAGATACACACAAACACGTGTAGGTACATGCGTAGATACATAGATACACACACAGATGCATAGTCAAAGACGCATAGCAACAACCGTCATGGCGGTGACGTCACCACGGCGCTTGCGCCCAGGCTGTGTGTACGTTAAGGCCACATGAAGTCCGGATTTGAAGCTTTAGTGACGGCAGGAATCCATACTCTTGAAGTGTCGAACGTCCGCTGGCAGGGGGTCACGGGACGGACCCAGGTGCCATGGGTTACTGATACTGAGATGACTGGCCGATGCACCACCTGTGCCCCCACATAGATACGGACTCAAACACGCACAAAAGACAAAGATCCCCCAGCATAGCCTCCAGAAGGGCTCTTGGGGTAAGTGCTGTTCGTAGCGAGCAGCAGCAACGCCTGTAACACAGACGCACGTAGGTGCACGTGTAGATACACACAAAGACGTATACATGTGGTGTGTAAGTGTGGTGTGTACGTGTGGTGTGTGTACGTGTCTATATTTTTGTGTACGTGTGGTGTGTACGTGTGGTGTGTGTATGTGTCTATACATGTGTACGTGTGGTGTGTGTACGTGTGGTGTGTGTACGTGTGGTGTGTACGTGTGGTGTGTGTACGTGTCTATATGTGTGTACATGTGGTGTGTACGTGTGGTGTGTACGTGTCTATACGTGTGTACGTGTGGTGTGTGTACGTGTGGTGTGTACGTGTGGTGTGTGTACGTGTCTATACGTGTGTACGTGTCTATATGTGTGTACGTGTGGTGTGTGTACGTGTCTATATGTGTGTATGTGTCTATACGTGTACGTGTGGTTTGTATGTGTCTATATGTGTGTACGTGTCTATACGTGTACGTGTGGTGTGTACGTATCTAAACGTGTGTACGTGTCAATATGTGTGTACGTGTGGTGTGTGTGTATATATGTGTGTACGCGTGGTGTGTACGTGTCTATACGTGTACGTGTGGTGTGTGCGTGTGTACGTGTCTATATGTGTGTGTCTATACGTGTGGTGTGTGTACGTGTGGTGTGTATGTGTCTATACGTGTGGTGTGTACGTGTGGTTTGTGTATGTGTGTGTACGTGTCTATGTGTGGTGTAGGCAGTGAACCAGGTGGTGCTGTGGGACCGCATCATGCTGCGAGGGGAGAACGCCTCCCTGCACTACCACAGCCTCCGCTCCAAATACTTCTTCTTTGACGACGGCAACGGCCTGCGGTGAGAACCTCCTCACCACCTCCTCACCACCACCTCCTCACCACCTCACCACCACCTCACCACCGCCTCCTCACCGCGTCATTAACCACCTCCTCACCACGTCACCCTCTGTAACTTTGTGTCTCTCTCTAGGGGTAACCCCAAGGTGTCTCTGTCCCTCTCGTGGAACGTCATCCCCAACGCTGGAGTTCTGCCGCTCCTCTCGGGCATTGGAGCCTCCTCGGTGCGCTTCCCAGACAGCTACGAGACCACCAAGAACTACTGAGCCACATGCTCCTCACCACCACGCTCACCACCACGCTCACCACCACACTCGCCACCGCTCACCGCTCACGACACTCACCACGCTCACCATTCACTACTCGCCACTCACAGACACTCACCACACACAGAGACCAAAAACTACTGAGCCAGACACTCACCACGCCCACCACCACTCACCACGCTCACCACTCTCCAGACACAAAATCAAGAACTACTGACGATCACTCGCTACGCAAACCCCACTCGCCACACACAGACCGACAGACTCGCCACACAGAGACTCCGACTCGTCACATAGAGACCCATAGACTCGCCACACAGAGAGCCATATACTCGCACAGAGACCCATGGACTCACCACACAGACCCATAGGCTCACCACACAGACTGACCACACTCACCACACAGAAACTCACAGACTCGCATGGAAACCTATAGACTCATCACACAGAGACCCACAGACGCGCCACACAGAGAGCCACAGACACGCAGAGACCCGCACTCAGACAGAGACCAACAGAAATAACACGAACACAGATTATTCGGTGACAGTGACGTTGGCAGCGGTGCATCAAGCACATTTTGCAAAAAAAACCTCAACGCTTCCGTCAGTAGCGCTGTGCTGTGCACGCGGCCTTACAATTAAATATCTATTCAAGAGGCAATGTTTGTGGCATAAGAGAGGTTTTTGGTTGGTGAAATCGCGTAAATATTCAATGTGTCGTTAAATCCGCCACCACCGGACACAGAAAATTAGTAAGGGGTTTGTGACGTAAACAAAACGTGCCGATTAGTTACTCGTTCAGCACTAACCGGTGTGTTGGAGAGTGAACCCACTACAACATTTACGCATTCGAGTAGCTGTGACGTTTCACCGGTAATTACAACAAACAGCCTCATCAGGCAACAGCCAGAACTGTTGTAATTACCTGCGAAATGTCACGGTACTCGAATTGTAAATGTCGTAGTGGGTTTACTCCCCAACACACACAACCGGATAGTGCTGTGCTAGTAATGAATTGTCCACGTTTTGTTTACGTGACAAACCTTACTAATTGGCTGTGTCAGGTGGTGCCGGGTTTAACGACACATTTTTATTCACGCGATCTAACCCAAAAGAACCTCTATTATGGATAAACTATTTTTTATTTTACCAGGTAGGGCCGACTGAGCTGTCTGGCTCTTTTTCAGAAGTGACCTAGCTATCACAAATGAAAGCTCACGTGGAAATTCATAGCAGCACCCAAATAACTCTAAAACGCGTGACGGTGATTCTCAATGTGGATGGAAAAACCGGGAGGACCCAGAGAAAAATCTACGCGACCACTACGAGGAAAGAGAGAGCGAGAGACGTAGACTTCATATGTACAGCAGGCGTCGTCAGGGTCGGGATCGTACCCACGACCTCCTCCATACCAGGCGAGGTAGTTAACATCTATCCACCGTCGTGACGAGAGAGAGATGCAGACTCCAAAAATACAGCAGGCATTGTCAGGGTCGGGATCGTACCCACGACGTCCTGCATACCAGGCGAGGTAGTTAACATGTCCTATCTACCGTGGTGATGAGGGAGAGATGCAGACTCCAAATATACAGCAGGCATCGTCAGGGTCGGGATCGTACCCACAACCTGCATACCAGGCGAGGTAGTTAACATCTCCCTATGCAGAAGAGCTACTCGTTTCCTGGAAACCCCTCGCCTTGTAAATTGGATTGTCATAAAACCGGACCCCCCCGTTTCCCCATAGCCAGTAGAAACAGTGGAAGCATCACTTGCCTTTGCGTTTTTTTTTTTATTTTCCTTCTATCGGCCGCTCTTAGGGTTTAATTGGTAAAACATCATCCACACGCAGACACACTCGACAATAACGCACGCTCCACGCCAAGTGACGTCGGGGAAAGCGAGACCCGGCTCCGTTCTAATGTCGTTCGGAGGTCGCACGGAAAGGACGCGTCGTGGATTTCGAGTTTCTGTGTCATGAAAAATTGATCTGCAGTGGCGTTGTACAAACGTCACGGACGTGGATCGTCGCCATCGTAGTAAACCAGACACTGGGCTCTTCCGTTTTATTTTAACGCCGCACGAACTGGTGGTTGTGGTGTTATCGGCGGATGTGTTGAGTAAAATTTGTTTAAGTAAGCGAATAGAAACCTGGAGTAACGAAAGAACTGCGTCGGCGAGAAATCAAAAGCACGAAGGCACGCACACGCACACGTCAGTAAGTATTGAAATAAAAATACATTTCCTCCGTAAGGAAAGTTTGAGAACTGTGACGCGTCCTCTTTGTGTGTGACGTCGCGTTAAGGAAATGGATCTAACGAGGTGGGAACGTGATGGAATAAGAGAGCCTCATCTATGGCTATGTAATCGGTAAGAGGCGACTGGCAATCGTCCATAGCCAACCGTGCTAATCGGAGATGCGGGGGAAAGACAATCTAAACATTCCTGCGGAGGGAACTGGTAGGAACGTTGGGTTGCTCGGTCAATGGCCAGGGTCAACGGCGGCACCACGTGGTGTATTCCGCAAATATGCCCGACTGAGGGCGGGCACAAGCTGGCGTGAGTAGGTGAAACGTTGAGTTTTATAAGGGCACCACGGGGTGACCAGCCCCTCCCCACCCAGCCCCCCTTCTCCCACCCCCCACCCAGCCCCACCCCTTCCACCCCCCACCCAGCCCCACCCTCCCCACCCAGCCCCTCCCCACCCCTCCAAGTTCAGCAGCAGTGCCTCCAACTCCTCAGATCACCAGATCATCAGCATACATAACATGGTTGACCTCAACTGCACCCGGACATGGATCAGTCTCCTATTGTATCTGTACCAGATGGAGATTCCAGCAGTACAGCCATGGAAAGCTTCTCGAGCTACGTGGTCAAAAAATATGTAAAATAATGTGGGAGCCAGAGGACATCCCTGTCGCACTCCAAGGTGAACAGGGAATGGCTCTGGCTCCCGGCCACATAGATTTACCCAGGCCTGCTCACCATCATAAAGCGTGGAGAACAGCCCAGAGGAGCAGGCTCCTCGTCCACGTGGGCCCCGGGCTCCGCGGAAGACTCGGAGCACGCCACCAACACCCTGTCACGTTGCAGGGTCTGCTGCGCCTTTTTGCATCTGGTGATCTTGAGCGAAGACCCCTCTCCGTCCTCGGCGGGGAGCACAGTGCGGAGGTCTTTGGGGAGTCCCAGCATTTTCTCGAGACCCCTCTCCGTCCTCGGCGGGGAGCACAGTGCGGAGGTCTTTGGGGAGTCCCAACATCTCAAGACGCCTCTCCGTCCTCAGCGGGGAGCACAGTGCGGAGGTCTTTGGGGAGTCCCAGCATCTTCTCGAGACCCCTCTCCGTCCTCAGCGGGGATCACAGTGCGGAGGTCTTTGGGGAGTCCCAGCATCTCAAGACGCCTCTCCGTCCTCGGCGGGGATCACAGTGCGGAGGTCTTTGGGGAGTCCCAACATCTCAAGACGCCTCTCCGTCCTCAGCGGGGATCACAGTGCGGAGGTCTTTGGGGAGTCCCAGCATTTTCTCGAGACCCCTCTCCGTCCTCGGCGGGGATCACAGTGCGGAGGTCTTTGGGGAGTCCCAGCATTTTCTCGAGACCCCTCTCCGTCCTCAGCGGGGATCACAGTGCGGAGGTCTTTGGGGAGTCCCAGCATTTTCTCGAGACCCCTCTCCATCCTCGACGGGGATCACAGTGCGGAGGTCTTTGGGGAGTCCCAGCATCTTCTCGAGGACCAAGGGGTCAAGGCCGTCGTCCATTTTCGGGAACGCTGCCTTCGCCAGCGCCAAGAGAGCTCTTCGGCAGGCGAGGGCCGACTCGCCATCCCCTTTCCGTCTCGCGGCGAACTTCTGACGGGTGTTCGGCGGAGGCTCGAAAACAGCGGCCATCTGGTACAACGCCTGCATGAGGGTGGACCTCTCGCACGGCGGAATGGCGAGGAACGCCGCCAAGGCGCCGTCGTCGAGGGCGGCCGGCAGCGCTTTCAGCGCGTCCGCCGCCGGCCATCCCGCCAAGTCGGCATTGGTGAGAAATCGCCGCTTAAAAGCCAACCAATCGCCGCTTAAAAGCCAACCAATCGCCGCTGGCGGCAACAAATTATGAAATGAAGGGCAGTCGATGGCGGAGCGACTGGACGTCAATCAGCGCTGCCCGCGGGCAGTGGCGATGGCGTTGCTGCCTTCTGTGAAATGGCGGCCGAGTTGCCCCCGTCGAGGGCATCTCAACGAGGATCGAGGACGTCGCTTAACAGTGTATATATAACAGTGTATATATATAACACGGTATATATAAAACACAGTAACATATATAACACAATGTGTGTGCATAACACACAGCGTGGTGGAAAGACTGGAGTGGTCTAATGATCCTGAGAGCGACGCCGTCGGGAGTTATGCTCCTGGTTGGGTTTCCCATGGCGGTAAGGTCGACTGGGAGGTCCCAGACTAAGTACGATCAAAGAATAACGCCCCTGACCCCCAGGGCAGGTGGGGCTCTATAGCTTAATGCGGCAACTCACCAAGGAGAAGGCCACTCCCAATAAAAAACCTACAGCTCTGTGGTTGCCGCAGCCGTCTTAGCTCGCTGAGCCACTGTGGAGTAAGCGTGTGCCTTAAAAGTGGGATGGGTGTGCGCTTTAACTAAACTCTAGCGCAGGCGGGAGGATAAGGAAAGTCCTACAGTGATAGGGGAAAGGCAGAAGGGGTAGGTGCAAGATGGCACCAGCATGTAGGCAGCTCGGCCGTATTGTTCGTTCGACTGTTGGCCAGAGGCATCAACAACAACAACAACATCCAGCAGCACCACGAGGGGTCAAGCAACATTTTCTAGGGACAGCACTGCTTGCTCCTGATGGAGAGACGCCTAGAAGAGGTCGCCTAAACACAGCTTGCCTCAACTCACCCGGCTGGCTTACCGTGGCCAACGGGCATCTCTTTACGCGGACAGAAAGAAAGGAACCAAACTTCTAAAAATTAGCATGCTGAAATGTTTGCACGATGATGGACTCGGATGAAAACAACCGACCACAAAGACACTCGGCTCTCATGACAAGGGAGCTTGCCAGACTTGACATTGACATCGCAGCAGAGATCCCTGACTGAACACGGGGCGAGCTACACTCTGTTCTGGTCAGGGAAAGACAAAGGGGAGAGACGCCTAACAGGCATTGGCCTCATGATGAAGAACACCATCGCTGGCTAGCTCTTGAGCCTTCCAATTAGCCACTCATACCGTCTAATGTCACTACGGCTACCCATCCAGGGT